GTGGGAGTAATACAGCTGTAGATAAATATGTCTACAATAGTTACCTTCAAACTTTCAGATCTATGAAAATGGATAGAGAGCTCTTATCCATTGTACCAAAATGGACAGGCTGGTTTTGAAGGTGATGGTTATTAAATAGGGAAGGAGTAGTCCCATAAAACAGAAGTGAAATGTTGGAGGATAAGTTCATATTTACCTAAATCTTGAGGCTTTATACTAGTTGTGTTGAACCTAGCTTTTGGTTCCTACGTGGTTTCGCCTTTGCATGAGGTAGCATGTAGTAGCTAATTTAATTATTTTTTTTTTGTGTCTTTTTAAAAAAAAAAAAAAATCTGGCTTTTTGGAATTTTCATAGGACTTGATCTTTGTGTTTAATTTCTGGACTCCTTAAGATTATTTCTAATGGACCCTTGCTTTCCTTAGCCTTTCTGTTGTATCTCTGAACAACAGATTCTCAATGTGTTCCTGCCAGTTAGCCATATGCAACGTTCTGTTTGAATAATGCATTACGGTGAATCCAAATCATAGTGATAACTGATGTGCAGCTGGATGCTTGGGGTATAATTGACTTAAATTATCAATTATACCCCAAAACACATACAAACGTCTTTGTCATTAATGAGTGGCTTAAAAAGTGCTTGTTGGCAAACACCTACTGCCAGTTTCTTTAGCACAAAGAGCTTTGTATTTTTTTGGGTCAGTATCCTTCACTAGATCTTGGGATGCTGATCCATTGCTTCTTGTTCAAAGTGTTTTCTTTGTGTCACAGTTTACAATGGAATCTTCCTATGCTCATTGCTTCAGTTAAATTCTGTTAACTGAATTGCTTCCTCTCCCATCTGTTTCCTTCCTCTCCTCAAAGAGACCCTGAACTTAAAACCATCAGTTGATAGCTGCCTAAAACCAGCTAACTTCAGATTGCTTGAAAATTAAGATGTGGTTCTGTGCACGTCCACTTTTCTCTTTCGCTAGGTGGTTTGTGTGGGTCAGATGGAGACATCTGGAAGCTGTTACTTCTCACTTGAGTAATCTTATCTGCTTTATTTTGTCTTTAGTAATATAGAGCTGTATATGCTTTGCATCATGCTTTAAGACCTCTCTATGGCTTGAAAATATCCCTGTTTTGCTGAAAACTTCAGAAGTCAAGCGCTGTGCAGTGGTTGTGGGGAAAGTAATCTGGGAGAAGCTGAGTGATGTGGGTGCTGCAGTGGTGCCACAGTAAATGGGTTTGAGATCTGCATGAGCATTTTGTTTATGTCGAGCCAGCAACAGGAGGTGTTTGAGTAGCTGTTTATAGTTCATATAGTAAGCTTGTGTGCTAGGCTTTATCATGTGGCAATGAGACATCCTTTTGGTGTAAAGGTTGACTGCTAGTGCTTTATGGTTGGTTTGGACACTGGTTTGAACAACAGTCAGGATACCACCTGTGATGTAGGCGGTTCTTTGGAAGATAAGCACTTCTGTAGTGCATTTGTTGATAAAGAACAGATTGTTTGTTGCATGTCCATGGTGTCTTTTCAGACTTCAGCTCTTTTTTCTTTGCTCTCTGACAGCCAACTGCCCAGTTTCCCAGGTTACATTCAACAGTGGTATATTTCCACCTTCAAATCCAAGGACTGCTCTGTGATGTTTTTGCTTGTTTTCATGGTGTTATTTGTGGAAAAGCAGCAGCTCGGAGTGAGTTTTCAAAACATGCTCCAATTATGTCAAGTTGTCATTGCTGCAGCCTCTGCACACAGTAACTCTTGAACTCGTCGGGCCGTGCACCACTCCTAAGTGGTTACTTTTTGGCTTCAGCCCTGTGAAACTTAGGAGTGGTGCTGATACAACTCTAATAATTTAGATTTGATCTTAGGCTGTAAGATAGTGTGTTTCTGTATTAGCCTTTGCTTGTAAACACTATAATTTAATATCCTGTTTGCAGTACTGATTATCAGAGTCTTGAAACTCAGCAGTCTTCTCAAGGAGAGTATTCTGTGCATGTTATCATTGGAAAGGATAATCAACCTATATAAATACTTAATTGTGCATTATTTCCCTGCAATATGTAGCTTCCTCGTAAGATTTAGAAAATGTTTTGCATTGGCATTTTCTTAATAAGCAATTTACTTTTGGACATCTTGGCACTTAGAGATTTTGTGAAATTAGAATATCTTCTCTGCTATATAAACTTTTCTTATTGGCTCTTTTTTTAGGGGATATACTTATTTTCTGGATTTATTTCACAATCTGGTAGAGATTTGTTCTAGACAGAATTAAGATCCTGGCAGTTGGTCATCCTAGGACTGACTGCTGTGGGAAGGGGAGAAGTACCATTGGAGTTCAGTACTTTGCAGTTGCTGTGTTTCTCTATATTCACCATGAGACTGGAAAACCTTTTTTTGTTATCAACACAGAAAAAAAATACCATCCAGACAGTGTTGACTTTACTGTTTAGGGCTTAATTTCTTAATTCCCATGTAAAAATTGTTGTTGTCTCCATTGTATAATAAGCAAATTTGAAAAGCAGACTTAATCTGTGGGGGGATAGTGTGATGTCCTGCAACTCCACATTGTAGCTGAGACGGGTTATTTTTTTTCTGAAGAAGGGCCATTAGTAGTTGAAGTACATGGCTGAGACATGAGATCCAGCTTCTCCCACTGTTTCTGCTGGTACTCTTGAGTATGGGTAGCTTGCTTAACTTCTTACTGATGAAAAAATGACAGTAATCAAAGGCAGTCCAACAGTCAGCAAATCTTGTGTTTGCTGAATGATGGCATCCTGCGTGCTCAGAATTTGTAGAATGTTAATAACTACTATTTTCAATTTTTGTTGGTCATTTGCCTGCCAATGTTAGCATCTTGATAAAGTTATACATACTTGGGCTGAAACAAAGTTTTGTGCTTTCTTTTGCACAGACATCCACAGACAATCTCTGCCATAGAGCTCTTAGACTTTGATTAAACGATTGGGGGAAGAATGGGTAAAATACAGAAATAAAATAATAAAATGGAGGCAGAATAAAACTTGTAAAAGGTGAGAGGTGAATTTACTTACTGATACTCTAAGCACAAGAGCAGATGAGAGTAGAGTAGATGAGAGAGGTGGCAGGTGTGGAGTTTTCTAAAAAGGGGAAGTGGATTATGGGTAGTGTGAAAAAAGATGTTTAGCAGTCTACAGTCATGGCAGTTCAGAGAAGGTCCCCTGAAAACCAGAGGAGGTTCTTGGACTTATTGTAGAGCCCTGCAGTTGCTTTTTCCAGCTGGAAGCATGATCTGTGTATTCTCTGCATGTGTTTTTTCCCCAAGGCACGACAGGGAAGAGCAGGTGGCTACTTGTAGCTTCTGGAATGCACGCGTCTAACTGCACAATTCACAATTTCAATAAAGAAGTTGGTGTTTTAGATCTTTCCCGATCTTGCTACTGCTTTTTGACCTCCCTTTTGCCCCTCAGGCATTTACCTCTTTGCTCCTGTTTTTCTTTTCTTACTGTCTTACATTGTCAGTGCCAGGGTATTAATGGATTGATTTGTTTGCTTTCTTGTAGGGTACAATTTTGTTCAGTAACCTGCTGTCTCAGATTAAAAGTTTTGCACTGAGATGAGGAGTTTCCTTTAAGTGGAACTATAGTATACAGTTTTTAAATCAAAGTACAGGATATGTGTAAAGTGTGTGGTCTGTGAGGGAAGCATATGCTTTTTCTGGAACGCGTCAGACACAGAAATGAAGCTAAAAAATAATTTTATTTTTTTAAAAGAATTTTTCTTTCCCTTAATAATTTGGTAGTATATTCTTACTGCTGTTGCGTTTAACACTGTCTTCAGACCAAAAAGCAGAATGTTTTGGAGGGTTATTTTGATGTCTGAATTCAAGCTTCTGTTACGTATGATAAATAAATAAATCTTGGGCACAGGTAGTAGATAAAAAAAAAAAAAAAGAAAAAAAAAAGAAAAAAATAAAAAAAAAAAGGCCCATGATTGATAAAGGGTAGTTGAGAGCATACTGTGAACAGTCAGGAAAGCCCCTGCAGAAGTTAGCCCAGGCCTGGACACAGGTATCCTGGTGCTGATAGTACTTCAAAAAAAAGCCACTGGTGTTACTTCACATAGGGCAATCTTACAAAACTCCTTAATCTGCTTTTTGTGTTACTGCATTTTGTGTTAGATTTTAAAGATACTCAAATTACCTCATTTTTTCCTTTTAAGTGTAACTTTCCAAACAAATCTTCCTTGTTTAGAGTAGTTCAGTGAGACGATCTACTGTTGAAATTTTGGTTATTTGTAGTTTACACTGCCTTTTAATGCAAGTGATTGATGAATTTCTTCCATTTGTTTCTAAAACTTTGTTACTCATAAATGACTCTTCAAAAAAAAATTATCAGAATTTAAAAAAATTCAATAAAATTGCAAGGAAAAATGGCTGCACTGCTCAGTGCTTTATGACATTTTACATATATTGTATTTCAGGAAGTGAACAAAGATTCAAAGTGCTTTAATATAAAAACACTCTGGCCTCAACCCGCCCCAGCGTAAGAATTCTGTTTCTGTAGGAGCTTCTGTACAAAAGGATATTTTTTAAGATTTCTCTTTTGTGTTGGTAAATAAAATACTGAGCAAACATACTGCAATTTCACACTGCAAAACTTGCTTTTGTGTATTTTTTCATTAATTACATATATAGTTCCTTAGAAGTATGAAGTGTACCTTGTTTTATGTATAAAGTAATATGAGTTTCTTGGTGACCGTTTTCAGGAATATTGAAGGTGTGCATGAAGTTGAAGGTTTTTTTAGGGAATAGATATTTGCAAATGATCTCTCTGGTTTCAGAAAAGCATCTGTAACTACTGGAAAAGTCTTGTTCAAAGTTCACTGGCTTAAGCATTGTTTTATCTACAGACCACAGCTTAAATTCTAGTGTTAGAGAGGGCAAGGTAGCATAATTTCTCACAGTATTAGAAATATATTCATGTATTTGAAGTGCTCTTGCATTACAGAAGAGAAAATGCCTTCAATTTTATTTGTTTATTTATAGAAAATGGAATAATCAAATCAGACAAGGTATTTGAAGTAATGCTGGCTACAGACCGTTGCCACTATGCAAAATACAACCCTTATATGGATTCTCCACAGTCTATAGGTAAGAGCATTTTGTAAAAATGATTGAGATTGTTCCAGTTTGTGTACCTGTGACTGCCTTTGTCATATATATATATGATGCGAACATAACTAAACAAACTTCCAAATTAAAAAACAAAATTAATCAGTTTAATCAATACCTTTTAACTATGTTTATTATGGAATGTGATTGGCATACTTAAGAACATCTATTTGATGCATCCTAGTCAATATTAATCTGTAAATATGTATTTATTTTTTAAACCACAGCAATTTGTGGTGGTACAGCTGATGTTTACTTAAAAATCATTTGTATCCAATTCAGATCCAGAAGAGTATCTCTCTGCATAGAAATTATTCACTTCAGAGCAATGTGGAGTTTCTTAAATGTTTGTGAGATTTTTTTTTTTAAAAAAAATATAAATAAAAATAAGCTTGAAATGGGGAAATTTGCTGATAGGACAGTAGTTTCCTATTCAGATCCAGCTTTTATCTTTCCAAGGCAGGAGAATGAATTACACAAATGTACTAGTTTCTTTTTTTCTTGATTTTTTTTATTTCTTTAATAATGGGAGGTGACAACTAAAGTGTAATGGGATTTTATTATTTGTATAGGAAAATTCTTGGGGTTTTTTTTGTTTGTTTTTTTTTTCCCCCCCCTCAGCAGTGGTGAGGAAGATGAATTGTATTAGGATTTTATCAGTTGTATAGGAAAAATCAAAAATGTTTTAAGATATGCATGTACTCAAAAGCTTGTATGTCTTCACAAAAACAAATACAGATGGGGATTCCTCCATATTTTCGCATAGGTGTGTGTTGTTGGCAAAATAGATGAAGTTGTCTCCAGAAGTTCTATGGTCTCCACCACATCAAGCACAAAACTAACCAGTTCAGGTTTTTACATAGGGACTGAGCGAAATAGGCATTATGTTATTCTCTGAGACATTACTTTTCTGAATTCAGTATATTTGATCAAGCTAAGGCAATATAGTGACAAAATGGAGATTGTAACGGAGGTCAGGGATAGAAACCATTATTGGTTTTATTTCTTTTTTTCCCCTCTATCCAGAGCTGACATGGCGTAGCTTTCAGATGATGTTCCCTGACTCACTTGTGAAATAGAGTACTAATGTAACTGTGGGGATAGGGGGGGATATTAGTGCCCAGAATGAGGGGGATAAATATGGCATTGCATTTTACAGTCAAGGTAATAAAGATTGTAAGGTTTCTGTCTGCACAATGATCAACTTGTTCTTTCATTCTCTTGTTTTACAGGTTTCCAAGCAACAATCAGCGCTCCACATATGGTAAGCTTTGAATTTATGTTAGTTAGTATAGGTGGTTTTATAAACATCCAGACGCTTCTGAAATAGAATATTTATCCTACTTAATCAACACTTGATTGCAGTGATGCTGTTGTGAACTTCCTAGTGGGAGGGCACAGAGATTGAGTCAGACTTTTCTTGGAGATACACAGTGATAGGTAGGATATGGGGTAGTGGAGAAAAAAATGCTATGTGGAAAGTTGTGATTAGTTTCTAGGGTGGAAAAAAACAAACCAAACAACTCATTGAGGGTTGTTAAGCACCAGAACAGGTTTTGCAGATTGTTAAAATTCTGTTCTTTGATATACAAAGAACCTGACTCACAGGGCTCTTGGCAGCCTAATTTAAATTGCCCCTGTGTTGAGGGTTGGCGACAGGATTTCCAGAGATCCTTTCCAACCTAAATTAGCGATTTATGAAAAGGTAAGAATTCTGGAGTGGATAACAGTGATTTTTGTGGTATGGTGTTTCTGTAATGCCTTTCATTCTTTGAACAGGAAGAAAAAACACATTGTACTGAGACGCAGGTTTTTTGCCAAGTAATTTGAGACCAGGGCATTCATTAAAAGGGAATTTCAATACATATATCTAGAATAGACATAATTTTTCTTTTTTTTTATTTGAGGTGAAGGATGAATAGAAGCATATACTTTGTCCTTGCAGTGTTTGTGAAGCGTCAAAACAGAGTAAAAGTCTGCTTCTCCTGGCTAAGAACTACCTAGTTGGGCTAGAATTTACTTACTGATCAGTATAAAAAGTCAGAAATTTCATATGGAAATGATAATGATTTTAGTCAAGGGAAGACAGAGAAAGTGGTATTGTAGCTAAGAAAGAAAAGAAAAATTAATCGTATTTTCAAAATTTTAACTCGCCTAAGTCATTATCTTTGAATTATGCTGTGCTCAGTGCTAGCAGTGTATGAAATGTTAGAGCAAAAGGGAAATGTGTCTGTTAAGCAAATGTTAATGATAAATGTTCTCATTATTTCTGTTTTCCATGTGTGACGGATTAAGCCTTAAAAGTGTGGTGATGGCTACCTCTGAGACATTAAAGAATAAACTGTTTTTTTTAAGTGTGTGAACTAAGCTTAGTTTGTGTATTGGTCCACCATGTGGGAAAGCAAAATTCAGGAAGTGTCCCTGTAGACTGCTGCATTTCATGTGTGAGCCTAGCTATCTGCCTTTGTGAAAGACAACTTACTTGTAATGCTCTTTGATTCGACACGTGTGCAGGTAATGCAAGAGGTAATTTAAATAGCCATTTTCCTTGATGCCCCAGAGCTGCCTTCTTCCTAGCCAGCCTCTGTCCTAGCTTATTCCAATGTATATGGCATAATGATAAACTGAATTCATTATGTGCCATATGCTGCCTGAGCAGTAAGAGCCACTGTACCTAAAGAGATTTATGGTGTCTCTCACAGTAATTGTCTGTAATTTGAGTGTCTGCTAGAAACTTGAATGGTCAGATGAGTTTGTATTTTCTAAAAAATAAAATTAAAAAACCCATATACAATTTGTTGAAGACAATGAAATAACAATGGTTATATTGGGTAGTTAAAGCTCTCCCTTGCCTTCCACTTTTTTGCTAACAAAATAATTCTGAAATGTCCTACATGAATCCTTAGCGCATTGCCTGAAATCGCTGAAGAAATGAACTTATGCTGGGTAAAGTGGACACTGAAAACATTTTGAAGTTTTCTGCCTCTGTCTTCTTCTCTTAGCATGCATATGCTCTTGAACTTCTATCTGATCAGTTACATGAAGGAGCCAAAGCACTTGATGTAGGATCTGGAAGTGGAATCCTCACGGCATGCTTTTCACGAATGGTGAGATACTTAGTTTAATCACTTGACTGTCATAACTGCTTGAACTGCAGCATAACTCTGAATTAAAGGGTGGAAAATAAAAGCATCCTTTGTACAGTGGACTAATGTCTATTATACAGAAAATAGTTTACTCTCCTGGCTGTGGATAGTACCCATTTCTTACCCTTGCTGATACTAGATGATTGAGTTAAAGGGTCCAGTAAATCATGTGATAGTAAAGAAACTGCCTTCAGGGGAAGTTGGATTTTTTTCTTTGATTACATTTTAGTGGTTGCATTATACCTTCAAGGAAGGAGGTTTTTGTCTCATCCAGCCCAATTTTTACATTACCGTATGTGGTTATGAGTGTTCTCGTTGTGATCAGTTGTCATATCTTCCTGCTATGATGTGACACCTAAAAGAGCCCTGTTTCCACAGGAGAATACAGTGTACTTATATAAATTGTCTTTGAATTAAATTTCTTTTTTTTCTTGTTGCTGTACTGCATGAGCATCACTATAAATATCCACCTAATATTTTCTAAGTCAGATATTAATTTATATTCTTATTACATCTTCTCCAAGTAACTTAATCTCTGGGTTGTTCAATTCATAAGGAATTCTGTGTTTCCATCCTATCTTACATCAGGGGAAAAAAAATGAAAGAAAAGTTGTTTATGATGGCTATAGCTACAGTACTGTTAAAGTGATTTATGTAGTGGAATATAATTGGTTCTTCCTTCTCTATTCCAGGACTTTATCGTTGTTTTATAATTAGAAGAGACCTCCTTTAAACTTCCAATGAGATTTTTTTTTCTGAGAAGTTAATTTGGAATATGATGATGTGTATGATGAATTCTCATGGTTTTTTTTGGTTTTCTGTTTCCAAGCACTGGTGTGTTCAGTCTGTGATTACTTCTGGTTTCCCATGTTAAGAATTAGATAAGAATGTTTAGGATGGGGCAATGCACTACAAAATCATTTAGTTAAGTGCTAGCTGCAAATTTTTTTTTTTTTTTTTTTTGTTGTTGTTGAAATAAATTAACCAAATTTAAGTTTAGAGGAAATCTTAAAAGTTGCTTGTTCAACTTTCTACCTATTGTTTTTGGTCTAGCTTTGTTGTTAATAATCAAGTCCTAGTAGCATGCATGTGAACTCCAATCCTATAAGTGTTAAAACTTCTGTCAAAGCTATGTTTATTTCCCACTAAAAACTGTGAATGCATAGAGGAATTACCATTTTCAATAAGACGTGGTAAGTTGTGGTTGTGCAGTTTTTGCTTTTAAAATACCTGTATTTGAATAGCTGAAGACATCTGCAGAGAAGTCACGATTACCACAAAGATGAAATACCTTTTTGATTTTGCTGAGGTTAATCATACTGTCTTTTCATTGTTGTATGAATGTCACATTCCTCTTCTGAATCCTCCTTGATGGTACACTGTGGAGTGTGTTACAGATGTGTTTTATGAAACATGGGATAAATGCTTTTTTTTCTATTTGATAGCATTACTACTGTGCAGTATGGACCTTGCTAATGACTGTAGATAAGATGATTATGTACTGCTCTGACTTTCTCTGTGAAGTTCTTTCTAATAGTAATAAAAGCTTGAAAGTGGTATGTTACAGGGAATGATGATAAAGTGTTTTTCTGTCAAAATTCAGTTGGAGATGTGCTTCCTAGATCACATGGATGTTGCTTCTCACTCTGCTTGAGATCTAGAATGAATAGCTCACATTTATGGCACAAATACAACAGTGCACACTGATGTCACAACAGCTTTACTCCTATGATGATAATCTCGTTTGTGGTACTTCAAGGGAAGGCTTTATGCTTCCCTGTACTGGCAAAACAACTTTAAGATTTTTGTTCAGTTTCTCAGGTTAAACTACTGTGATAAACTTATTTACATAGCATACAAACTTAAGTTTATTTGCATTTAAAGGTCACTAGCACTTTAAATGAAATGTAGTTTTCATCCTCTAAGCACTAGAATTATGAAGAGTGGGGTATATTTTTTTTATTTCAAACAGACCATAGAGACCCCCAAAATTGTGCCATTTTGCTGTTGTCTCATTGCACACTTGAATGTGCCAGAGCAGCTGAGGACTCAGAGATAGCGTAGCTGGCTGTGACACGCAGCAGGGTGTCTCTTACTTTCTCTCTGACTATGTCATGCTGTGACCATTGTGCTAAACTCTGATCTCTGGGACATTACCCTTTGTTGGACTACGCTGATCTTTGCCAGCTTCTGGGACAGCTGATCACCAGGCATTCCCCCGAATCACAACCTGTGGTTGTCATTATAAAAACTTGCCATGTGTCTTGCTCTGTTTCAAAGGCTAGGCTGGTGGTCTTCCAGCTGAAAAAGAAGAGATGTGTTTAACATAGGACTTGACCATAATAAAACAGGGAAAATGCCCATATCGATAACCAGTTATTAATTGTGCTTATCTCAGCAGCGTTAAAATGTAAGATACAGAAGCATAACTTATGCATTCAGATGTATCCAAAGACAGAGTTATGTGACAGTATGGGCTGCTAGGATGTAGTCTGCTGTTGTGTTCTTTGAGCTGGATCCTGTTGAAGATGGTCAGAGTTTAAGATTTGAATTCCATTTATCCTCTTGCAAAAACTGGAATAATTTTGTGGAACAAAGACACAGTTCCAGCAGAAATAGCTGTAATGACAAAGTTTTTGTTAGTAGGCCTTTTTTCCCCTCAGAATACACAGATCTTTCATGACTGTGTGAGTTATGAGCTCTCAAAAGTTCCACTCTTCCTGTGGAAGAGAGATGTAAAGCTGAAAGTAGATTCATGAATGCACAAGAGTAGGTGGAAGGTGGTTCATCCCTGACTGTTAATTGCTGCATTTGCTTCTGAAAGAAAAGGACTCTTGAGATAACTTAGAATAAAATGCATGGCTTACTGTTTTCCTTCAAGTAAGGTCTTCTCGAGAAAAACCTTAACCTTTAAGTTTTATTCAACATGAAAGGAGATTAGTTCTGGTCTTTCTCCTTGAAGTTGTTGCATTCTGTTGCAGGTGATGTAAACACTCATGATCAAATTTAACTTCTAAAAATTCAGAGAAGAGATCTCCACTGATAGTATAACTTAATCACATCTTGTGAAGATGACTATAACAAGCATAAGAACACACTGACAAACTTCAATCAACTTGGTTGCTTATAGCCGTCAGGATGTGGCATTCTTAGTAGCAGTTTTCATAATGTTGGGAGACTATACTACAACTTTACTGTTTCTGTTTTCATTTTAGAGAAATGGACTCAGGAGATAGAAATTCTATTCATTCTATGAATAAATTAAAACTAGCAGAAATTATTCAACTGTATATTTTTATTCCAGGTGGGTCCCAAAGGACAAGTTGTAGGAATTGATCATATCAAAGAACTAGTAGATGACTCAATAAATAATGTCAAAAAAGATGATCCCACATTGCTGTCTTCAGGAAGAGTGAAACTGATTGGTGAGCATCAGACTGATATACTTACTAATTAAACTGATATTCTTTCTAGCAGCATTGGGTGTGATTAAAAATTGTCATTTAAGAAGTTAACCCAAAGAAAGAAGTGCCAAAGGAAAACTTTTAAATCCAAGTTGTCTTTAGGCCTTTGAAAAATATCATCACGTGGTTTCGAAAATATGAGTTCTGATACTCTTAAAGAATATGTAATCATCCTATTAGAGCAGCTTTACAGGGGACTGTTTTTTGGTGAAAATATTTTACATGCTGAAGGTCTGTCATGTTAAATTTTCTATTTAAAATTGGATTTGAATTGACAACTTTCCTTGAATAAATGTACTGTCTTCTAAATTTGGCGTTCTAGCAAATCCTTTGTACTTTTGATACAGTAATTGAGAAGCCTGCACGCAGAGTCAAATGGAGAAAGTACTAGGTTGGCAGTATGCATCACTGAAGTTTATTTCACTATTTTTTAAAACTATTAGTATTTATATGTTAGGGAAGTGATTAATTGATACCAATCTGCTTTAATTCCATCAGAGTGACTGAGAAGAAACCTAAAATTATGCAAGGAAATGGAATTGATTTAAAGACTATTTTTTTGACAAAAAAGAAAAATATGTGCTTTTTTTCGCTTGGAAGAGGCACAGCTGACAGGAGTAAAGCATTCCCTTTGCTATAATTCTATTTGTTAAGTTTAAAGAAGAACCTGAAGATCTGGTTATTTTGCAGCCTTCTATGATGAAATTACTAGGT